ATTATTATATAACAAAGTAAAATTCAACGATGGAAGGGTTTGTCTCAGGAAAAGTTTAGCAAAAATTATTCAATGACAACATATTTTCTTGATCCACAACAATAACATTATTGTCTTCAAATTATGTTACATGTAATAACTAAAAAAAAAAAAAAAAAAACACAGCACAAAGCATAATACACAGTCATCAGAATAATGCAGTGAAATTAGACGAAAAGAACTGGTGGTCCCTCTCCTCCGTCCTCCCCAGGCTTAATAAAGGGAGTTTGCACCATAAAATATCACCTTACTCATGACGCCTGCGTACAATCCTGTTGGTCTATTATTTTATTACAGCAAAACAAACATAGTCATGTGCCAGAAAAATCTCGAGTTCTCCGAGTAAATTCCAACAACAGCAAATAGTTATTTTATAATTTCCTTTCTCTTTCAGGCAATCGAATTCAACTTTCCTCCTTTCCCCCTATTCAGTCCTTTCGAAACATGCAGCCAAAACAGATGGGAAACATTCGGGTGATTACCCAGGGAACAGGATAGAGAAGAGGAACGAGGGTACTAGTCAGGAGTTCGAGACGATAAATGATGACAGTGATGGTGATGGGTGCCCCGATGCGGCTTTTATACATTTCATTTATACTGACATGATATTTAGAACAGTTGTGCCCAACTTTTGCGTATACCGTCGTAACATGAACTAGCATGGTAATATCACACCATCAATTTTGATAATCTCTGTATTGTTGCATAGACTTTATTAGACAATACGATTATCTCAATGCTTCCACGCATACAATGCCTGTTGATGTTTGCATGCCACCCAGAAACAACCATCGCAAAAATTCCATGCGTAAGCCTGAGCATAAGTATATAACTGCATCATAAAAAAAATCGTACAGACACACATACACACCTCGACAATATGCGTTTTTGCATTGCACAGATGCAAAAAAAGGCATAATAAAATCAAAGTTTTCGGCTTAATAGCTCAGAAAGGTGATGAAATTACTGATAAATAACAACTTGAGTTAAATTTAGGCTGGAGTGATCGGTTTCACCAAATCAACTGCAGCAGAATTGGCGAGAAAGAGAATACGAGTGAATACAGTTCTACCAGGTTTTGTAAATACACCGCTTACTGCTGATCTGCCCAGAGAGGTAAATCTTTTTACGAGTTAGGTTTTGTAAATGCCAAAAATACACCAGCATAATCGACGGCTATGAATATCCAGAAGATCCGGATATGAATATCCATGGCCTGCTTTTTAGCCGTTCTCTCTTTGTAAAAGTCAACAGTTAAAACCCCTCCATATTTGTTCTCTATGAAAGACGGAGGTACTCAAGAGGCTAAAGGTGTACAGACACCAATCGGAAGTGTGCGTTACTTGAGCATTATACGAGCACGCTGGGTGTTTACTTGGGTCAGCTGCCATTACACGAATTATGACGGCATGTTACTTGTAATCTGATTTTTTAATATATATATATATATATACATAAAAATATAGGTGGAGAAAGAAAGCCCTTAGTATAATAACAAGTCACAATCCACCAAAGGATTCGGAAAAGAGGTTCGATTCCTTCACGGCCCATAACTGTTACAAAAAGAGGCTCCATTTGCGACCCACGCCTTTTTATTTGGTTCGAATTTTCAGGAACGACAAAAGCTTTGTGATGCAATACCGATGGGTCGTCTGGCAACACCAGCCGAAATTGCGGATGCTGTCTTGTTCTTTGCAAGCGATATGTCCCAATATGTTACTGGTGCTACGCTAGAAGTTACCGGCGGTTTTGATATGTAAGGCACATAGTGTACGGTGAGAGAGAGAGCGAGCGAGAGCGATGATTTGGCTTTTGGTTCTTCTTTCTCATGATTAGCTCGCATGATATTAGTATAACGAATCCTCTCAGTTTGCCCAATCAATCTAAAAAAATTTTATTTACATCACTGATTCTATCTTAAATAGTTCTATCCTACATAGTTCAGGGAGGGTTGGAAACGTGCTTCCCGCTGTTCCTCAGTTTTTTTCCAGAATGTTCAGAATTTTCATTTTTTTTCCAAAATTTCCGAAATTTTCAGAATTCATTTTTTCTCAAAATTTTCCAAAACCCTCAATTTTCCAAAATTTTCAATACCTCTTACAAAAAAAAGGCTCCATATGCGTCACATCCTTTATTTGGTTCAGGAATGACAAAATACCAAAGGGTCGTGTGATGCAATACCCCTTCGTTCCTCCTGGATCTACCTATGAAAGGTAGCG